TATGTGTATGTATATATATATGTGTATGTATATGTATATGTATATGTATATGTATATGTATATGTATATGTATAGATAAATGTATATGTATATACCAATGGGTGATTATTTTCATATTTATGTCATCTTAAGCTATTTGACTATCATTAAAAATTGACGCCAGATTCCTCAGACTTTTATTAATGTATGTTTATGATGTCTCTTTCAAAATAAAAAATAAAAACCATTTACCATTGGTTGCCATGATAAAAATGTTTCATCATATCTCAAAATTTGGTTCGGGTACATACGGGGAAAAATATATATTTATAGTATGGTACTCATGGCTGTCTCGAATTATTGGGAATTTTAACAATAAATAATCTGTTACTCGAGAGCTAAAAGTCCAACTGATTAGATCATTTAATTTTATTAATTTGTTTCTCCATTTCTCATCACACTAAACTAGAGAAATACAGCTATGATATACGTCTACCGTGAAAAGTACGGTAATATTCGTGTGCACGATGCAAGCTATAACGCTCTCAGTCAATGTCGCTGTTGAGGGACCGTGTCTCCGCATGGAAGCGACTGTGGCGCTTGCGTCAAATACGCACTGTAACCGAATCAAGTGACTAATCTACGTAAATAATTCGACCAACTGTATTTTTTATTCAGTACTACGCCATATGCCGGAGACAATTCTAGCAAGTGGAAAGGCCGCTAAAAATTGCATCGACGATTCTTCGTGATCAGCAACGCAATGCCACATTTTGTTTATGACCAATAGTCACATGTTGCACCAACCTTGATGGGGCGCATGCTAAATTTAGAGGCGCCTCCAAGCAGATCTATGCATTTTACCGAGGTGAAATACGCGACTTCTCAGTGCAATAAGCTATTTTCCGCTTCGTGTTAAATTTGCCTAGCATTCACCCACGGGTTCATGGGAGAGTATGTTTACATAGGACGGTCACCGTTTACATCGAGCTCGTGAAACGAGGGAGGTGTGGCTGCAGACAGGCCACGAGAGAAAGGGTCCACGACAGCGCGGTCCACGAGAGAGAGCGATTGATGGCGTGATCATCACGTGGTTATCACCTGACTTAACATGACGTTGCTGTAGTGTTGAATTCAAGGTTCTACTCGTGTTTTTGTTGGGAAAATACTTATACACTGCGTTTGTAACTACGTTTTAAAAACTGAATTACGGGTCGTTCTTTACTGAAAAATCGACACAGCAGGACTAACGCGAGCAGTCGAGCTAGTAGTAGAGCTTGACTGGCACAGTAGGGGCGATTAATTAGTTTTTGTAGTCTAACTAAAATAAAAAAAATCGCGAAATGGAGGTTTTCCCCTGAAACTGC